CGGCCCCTGCCCATTTTTTGACCACGCCTTTGTAATAAAACCTTGCACATGGATCCGAACGTCTCATGTTCTGATTATGTCGTAACAGAATACTCGGCCTGACAGGGATTCAGCAGCTTCACCAAGGAACATTGGCCAGGTATGAACACAGCGATTTTGCTACTAGCGCTCAAGCGGGGCACACGATCACTCGAGGGTTACATTGTGGAATATTTGGCTTTGGCAAATGGCTCAGAATTGCCGGACTGTATGTTAATAGACTTTTTCTGTGATGGTCTTAACCAGCCTTTAAAGTCAAGAGTGATTCAGGAGGATCCTCGTTCATCACGCGTTCAATTTATGGATTATGCTTTGTTGACTGTTGGTTCATCGTTCACTGTGGGTGTCGCGGAGGAATGCGACACTGTGTCCGCTCGTGTAATGGCCGCACTACAGCACGCTCACAAAATGGTGGCAACAGCGGAGCCCGTTAGCAAAATGGCAGCCACAACAACACCCCGTCAGGTCACTGCTGCCATCCCTGTGTCAAGTCAAGCCACCGCTGACCTTCATGAGTCAAGTCACGTCACAGATGATCTTCATGAGCCAAGTCACATCCCCGCTGATCTTCTAGAGTCTAGTCAAGTCACAGCTGATCTTCATGAGTCTAGTCAAGTCTCGGTTGATCTTCATGAATCAAGTCAAGTCACAGCTGATCGTCATGAGTCAAGTCACAGTTGATCGTCATGAGTCAAGTCAAGTCACAGCTGATCTTCCTGAGTCAAGTCAAGTCACAGCTGATCTTTCAGCATCAAGTCAAGTCACAGCTTCCATTCCTGAGTCAAGTCACATCACAGCTGATCTGCCAGTGCCTCGTCACGTCACAGCTGATCTCCCAGAGCCTCATCACATCTCAGCTGATCTTCTAGAGTCTCGTCATGTCTCAGCAGTTCGTCCAGTCACGTCACGTCACAGCTGATCTTCCAGAGTCACGTCACGTCTCGTCTGATCGTCCAGAGTCACACCACATCACAGCTGATCATCCAGAGTCACGTCACATCACAGCTGATCATCCAGAGTCACGTCATATCACAGCCTATCTTCCAGAGTCACATCACATCACAGCCTATCTTCCAGAGTCACGTCACATCACAGCTGATCTTCCAGAGTCTTGACACATCACAGCTGATCATCCAGAGTCACGTCACATCCCAGCTGTTCATCCAGAGTCACGTCACATCACAGCTGATCATACAGAGTTACGTCACATCACAGCCTATCTTCCAGAGTCACGTCACATCACAGCCTATCTTCCAGAGTCACGTCACATCACAGCTGATCTTCCAGAGTCTTGTCACATCACAGCTGATCATCCAGAGTCTTGTCACATCACGGTGGTGGCGCCCAGCGATGCACTCTCAGCCTGTTGTGGTCGAAGAGACCGTTACTGACTTCTCCCTGTTTCCTGATGTTACTGCCAAGCCACGGCCAAGGAGGACGTTTATGAGTTTTCAGTCTGTCTGTCAAGGTCAAAGGGACCGTTGCTGAACTCTGTACCGGTCCTGTTAAGCAGGATGTTAATGAACTCTACCCGTTTCTTGATGTTACTACTGTAGAACCTCCAGAGGTGGCGGCATCTGATGCAGAACCTCCAGAGGTGTCAGTGGTATCCGTCTGTGAATTCTCTGCCTGTCCTGTTCTGGCCAAGGAGGCCGCCTATGAACTCTCAGCCTGTCCTGTTCCGGCCAAGGAGGCCGCCTATGAACTCTCTGCCTGTCCTGTTCCGGCCAAAGAGGCCACCTATGAACTCTCTGCCTGTCCTGTTCCGTCCAAGGAAGCCGCCTATGAACTCTCTATCTGTCCTGTTCCGGCCAAGGAGGCCGTCTATGAACTCTCTGACTGTTCTGAACCAGCCGAGAAGGCCATCTCTGAACTCTTGTCCTGTTCTGAACCAGCCATGGGGGTTAATTGTGAAAGTCTGCTGCTTTCTTTCTCGTTTTTAAATTTTATGATTTTATATTTATCCTTTCTAATCACTGACTGTAATATGCTGCTGGTTTATGACCGCCAATCACTGCTAAATATTCGCATGGCTATAGACTCCGCCAAGAGTGACATTGGTGCGCCTGACCGATTTCCCCTACCTGGCCTCTCATATCTCCCTGCTCACCTGTGTTGGCATCCTGCCGGTTTTCCATGGAGGCGGCGGCGGCGTCGGAGGAAGCGCGGCAAGCGGGGTGGAGCTGCTGTTCAGCTGAGGTCTCTTGCATACACTTTTCGTCTGTGCCATCACATCATCTCTCCCCCCGCATTCATCGCCGTGGAGTGAATTTTTTCAACCTCCGACCGCTAAACCGATTTACACAGCCAGAAAAAGCCTCATCGCTACTCAAGGTGGCTTTGATCAACGCACGATCAGTGGTGAATAAGACATTTATATTAAACAACTTCTTCACGTCTCACGCCCTGGATATCTTATGCATTACTGAAACTTGGATTAAACCTGGTGAGTTAAGTCCGTTCATTGAACTGGTTCCACAGGACTGTCATTTTTTAAATTCACCTCGGCTATCAGGTCGCGGTGGGGGACTAGCAGCAGTGTTTAAAAACTCTTATCTCTGCCGCTGTTTAACAACTAGCCCTCATTGCACCTTTGAAGTGCTGTTGCTTCAGCCCACAATAAATTACTCTGTGGTGTTTGCCTTGGTTTATCGCCCGCCCCAGCCAAACAAGGATTTTCTCAACGAGTTTGCCGAGTTTCTGGGGGATATTGTTACCAGTCATGACAGAATCTTAATCTTGGGAGATTTTAATATCCACGTATGCTGTGACTCTAAGCCACTTTCTAAAGAGTTTCGCAGTCTCATTGACTCATTTGATTTTGATCAGTGGGTGTCTGGCCCCACTCATATTCAGGGTCATACTTTGGACTTAATTCTATCACGTGGTTTACCTGTATTGGACATTAACATCTTAGACACAGGCATGTCGGATCATTTGCCAATCTTGTTCTCTTTACATTTGACTGGAACTACACATAAGCAACAACCCCGTTCACGGCTGACTCGTGTCTTTTCCGATTGCTCTAGTGATGATTTTACAGCTTCATATTCTGAACTACGTGCCAATCATGACATGGACTCATGTTTAAGTTATCTAGATGCTGACGAACACTTAAACTTTTTTAATTCCACCTGTTCTAATATTTTAGATGTTGTTGCTCCTTTTAAGTTGAAAAAACATAAGCACAACTCTAAGCCTTGGTTAAATGACACTACTCGTTCACTCAGACAGACCTGTAGAAGGGCTGAACGTAAGTGGAATAAGGATAGATTACAAGTTTCCTATGAAATCTTAAAGGACTCCCTCTCTGCATTTCAGCGAGATGCTAATGCTGCTAAGCGTAAATATCTCTCAGAGTTAATTTTATGTAACACTACTAGGCCTAAAGCCCTATTTTCAATAATTGATTCTGCTCTCAATCCCACTATTAATCATTTTCCTGAGACATCTGATTCTCATTGTGAGGATTTTGCTAGATATTTTAAATCACCCGTCTGTTCAGATCTCACTGACAATTCTGATGTCGTACTATCTGCCTGCCCAGTATTTGTTTATGAATTGTGTGTTAGTCCATTTTCAGTCAATACATCCAGTTTTGAACTGTCTGCCTGTCTGAGTTCTGCTCTTGTTTCTAACTGTGTACTGTCAACCCATTCAGTTTCTGCCAATGCCCCCAACTATGAACTGTCTGTCTGTCCAGCCACTCTTGAGGAGACCAACACTGAACCTTTAAACCTGTCAGTCATGCCCAAAGAGACTTTTAATAAGCCCACTGTATTTCCAATTCCGGTCCTTGATGCCGTAAATGCACTGCTTGTATCTTGTATTTCAGTTTTCCCTAGGCCCCATTCCCACCATGGGATCTGGATCACTCTGGTCCGCCTTGGTGGTCTGCCGACATGCCCTCGTGGGCTTCTGCTCTGTCTGCTCCGCCCTGGTGGGCTTCTGCTCCGTCCGCTCTGCCCTGGTGGGTTCCTGCTCCGTCTGCTCCACCGTGGAGGTCTTCTGCTCCGCCCTGGTGGGCTTCTGTCCAGTCTGCTCCGTCGTGGTGGTCTTCTGCTCTGTCTGCTCCGGCCTGGTGGTCTTCTGCTCCGGCTTGGTGGTCTCCTGTCCTGCTCTGGTGGTCTTCTGCTCCGCCGTGGGGATCTTCGGACCCGCCTGCTCAGCTGTGGTGGTCCTCAGCTCCACCTGCTCTGCCGGCTCCACCCTGGTTCTCTGCTCTGCCTACTCTGCCTCAGTCCCCGGTCTCTCTTGACCCTCCGTCCCTCCCCCTGTTCCGCCTCCACTCCACCGCCCTCCTGGATTATGAGTTAGGAGCGTCTGGAAGCCGCTCCTTGGGGGGGGGCTATGTCACGTATCCGGTCCCGGACCCGTCTGCTCAGCTGTGGTGGTCCTCAGCTCCGCCTGCTCTGCCGGCTCCACCCTGGTTCTCTGCTCCGCCCTGGCTTCCTGCTTCGCCAGTTCTGCCTTGGTGCTCTGCTCTGCCAACTCTGCCTCAGTCCCCGGTCTCTCCACTTCCATGTGGACCTGGCCCTCCGTCCCTCCCCCTGTTCCGCCTCCGCTCCACCGCCCTCCTGGATTATATTGAGTTAGGAGCGTTAAGCCGCTCCTTGGGAGGGGGGCTATGTCACGAATCTGGTCTATAAACTTCCGTTCACTCACCACCAGAGGTCACCCGCTATCCACATGGCCTCTCACACTACACAGACTGTTACACATCACCCTGGACTACATTTCCCATGCTCCATTGCTCTAATCACAAGCTCACCTGAAATCAATCATACAGAGCTGCTACCAATAACACACACTATAAAAATCAGTCTCACACCACCATTCAACGCCGAGTAGTGTTTGCGCATATCGCTCAGTTAGTGATAGCAACGTTACAGAGCCCTTTTCCTAATCTTGTATTTGTTCCTAGTTCTAGTCTAGTCTTGCCTCATTGTGTTATTTGATTGCCTGGTTGCCTGATTCTCTGCCTGCCTTGGATTTCTCCCGCCTTATCGTTTGGACTCTGTTTGCCCCTTTACTGGACTATCGCCTGTTTGTGGATTACCCGTTTGCCTTGCCCTCTGGATTACATTCGCCGATGGAAGACCCTCGCCTGCCCTAGGAATGCTCTTTGCCTTGCCTGTGATATACCTGTGTTGTTGTCTGACCCCTGCCCGTTTTTTGACCACGCCTTTGTAATAAAGCCTTACACATGGATCCGCATGTCTCATGTTCTGATTACTCCGTAACAACGGCTATGCCACAGTGTTTGCCCACTTTTCAGCGGCATTGCTTCCAGGTACTAGTTTTTCCATCATTTTTGTCCATTATAATGGTCATTATTACCTTGTTGTTCTTAGGTGAAGCCTGAGGGTCTTTCATCCAAGCTCCAAACCTCGTTCCTGATGTCTTTACAGTGATGGGCCCCGTGATTTTCATCAACTTACCACAGGCTGACACAGTGGAGAATGACAAGTAATGTCAGCTGTTATATAAGCATGTCAACACATCTTCAACTTTAAAGGAACACATACCATTCCACAAAAGAAAATACCACAAAAGTCATGTTGAGTTCAACTCACTGAGTTTGTTCATACAGTTCCTCAGTCTTCCCTCCAAGCCGAGGACCCTTTGCTGGAGTTCCTCATAATCATACGCTCCTATCTCCTCATGGATAGCAGTCAGCACAAGAGACAGGTTCCTGATCTCTTCCTTGAACTGGGAAATGAGTGTGGCATCAGTCTTGTACTGCTCCAGCACTGGAATCAGCAGCTGCAGTTCATTCATCTTCCCCTTCAGCTCCTGCAAAACCAGACAGACATTTAAATAGAAATCACATGAGGGGAGATTTGCTTACATTAACAGAAACAGATGCAAGAGCATGGCACAGCTCGCCCGGTAAACAGCAAGACATTATGAACAATGACATGCTAGACCCAACTGATATTACTGTTTTGAAATAAAACATGACCTTTTGGTGTTTCCAGGATTTCCAGGAATGCTGAACAGTGTGTGGCTTTTTGAAATGTTTGTGAAGGATAAAGACAAGAAGCTTTTAAGTGGGATTTGATTCGTCATTCTTGGAGAGTAATGGCACGAATGTGGCTTTTTCCAACCGTTCTGTTCATATGAGAAAGGACCATTGATTTTCTCTGAGGCATGACTTTAATGGTAGCTCACCTGAAAGTTTTTAGTCAATAATGTTCTTCGGTTCGACTCGATTTGTCTGAACTTTGATCGGAGTCCTTTCATCTGGCTCTCCATTTTCATGACATACTGGAAGTCCCTCTGGGTCCTCAGGTTCAGCACTTCGATCGACTGCGACATGTTCTGAATCTTAAGAGAGGAAGATGGGCCGAAATGAAGTTAGGATCCATTAATCATTCTTTGAACTGCAAAAAGGAAGATGTGATAGATTTAAAATATATTTTCAACTGGTGTAAATCAGCCCTGACACTATGCCTCCAAGGAATTCTGCATTTCCATAATTCCACTTAACGCAACCCAAGTAAAGACGGAAAGATCTTAGACACATACCACAACTGACACATTTAAAACAGGATAAAAATGAGACTATGTATCGTCAACCCTATTACTTCCTTCACTAGCATCCACCAAAAAAGAAAGACACAGATACGTCTTGGGCCAATAACTATTGCAGAATGTTCACAGTAAGACAGAAGAAAAGCGTAGGAAGTAGAAACAAGAGGGGGCCTAAAGAACTCTTCAGGCCTTTTTGCATTACCATCATCAGCTCCAATGATGACAATGGCGAGCAGTCTAGCATAATGCTTTCAAATTGCTAAAATGAGAGCTTTTGTTATCTAAACCAGATCTCAATATAAAACGACTTCAGAGTTCTTAGACACACATTATGTGCACACACACCTTCTCCAGTAACTGGCGGAGCTGTCTGCTCTTTGCGTCTCTGGAGCACAAGTTCTGTTCTGGTGCCACCACCGTACAGATGCAGCGGCCGTCAGTATCCTGCGCTGAACTGTACACCTGCCAGCCTTCCTTGGGTCTGATGGTCTGTACAAACACACACACAGGCATGTATGACATATCTTGGTGTTATTTGTTTACAATTTAAAATTTTAAATGACATTCTTAAAATGTACTGAAAATGAAAATGTACTGTGCTTGAAACTGAAATGTGGATATTTAGTGAGAACTACAATAAACTTACAAGTGAAGTGAAGTGTCATGTGGCCAAGTATGGTGACCCATACTCAGAATTAGTGCTCTGCATGTATCCCATCCAAAGTGCACACACACAGCAGTGAACACACACACACCGTGAACACACACCCGGAGCAGTGGGCAGCCATTTTTTTTTTTGCTGCGGTGCCCGGGGAGCAGTTGGGGGTTCAGTGCCTTGCTCAAGGGCACCTCAGCTATGGTATTGAAGGTGGAAGAGAGCGCTGTACATTCACTCCCCCCACCTACAATCCCTGCCGGTACGAGACTCGAACCCGCAACCTTTGGGTTACGAGTCCGACTCTCTAACCATTAGGCCACGACTTCCCGACTTACATAGCTATTCACTTCGAGTGCTTCATTTTATTATCTTTTTTTATTATTATTTATAACTTATTACATTCGTTATATGGAGAGATGATTGAGTAAACATGTACATTTTAAAATATGCATATAATTTTGTTTTGTGTTTAAACCTGGAGCGTCTATTATATTTTAACTTCAAACTTTTGCTTCTGGTTAAAATACCCATAATATTGCTTTCTCCAGAGAAAAAGTCATCTTGGCTGAATCAGCAGAGAAATATGCACAGAACAATCACCGATTACAAGTAAAAACTGTCCAAAACACATCTAAACAAATATGCTGGTATATAATGATGTGAGAGGACAACAGGGGATGGATTTATTTCACTAGAGGAAGCGTTATTATGGATAATAGACGATGGTTTGAAGCTAAAAATGCCTTGATAGATGATGGACGCAGCTTTTTGCTTAACAAGACATTAATTGATGGACAGGAGTCGTGCAGATTACTTGTGGATTATTGTGATGTTTTTATCAGCTGTTCGGACTCTCATTCTGACGGCACCCATTCACTGCAGAGGATCCATTAGTCAGCAAGTGATGTAATGCTACATTTCTCCAAATCTGTTCTGATAAAGAAACAAACTCATCTACATTTTGGCCTGAGGGTGAGTACATTTTCAGCAAACTTTCATTTTTGGGTGAACTATTCCTTTAAATCTGTGTCTCTGACTCTATAAGACACTATATGACTTCATTTTAAATCGTATAATAAAAGCAGAGGATAAATATTGTGCAGTTAACGTGTATTCCACTGAATATTCATTTCGATTCACACTGATTCATCAAAATTCTGAAAGCAATTCAAGCACACGCCACTAAAACAAGGCAGGGCATAAATAGCATGTTTTGATGACAAATAGCACCCCGTCGCAACACCTTCATGATAAAGCCTCTCTCTGCATTCATCTCCCCAAATTTCCCTAGATTGTCTGCAACAATAAAGGCACTTTGTAAACACCCACATTCATTTTTTTCCCCACTCTCACAGCGGGCCCTGAAAGGCCGGCTCTGGGGACTAGCCTTTTACATGCGAGCTGAAAAACAGAGTTCTTTACACACTCTGGCACACTTCCTGATGCCGCTGCAACTAACAACTAACTGCAATTTCAGCAAATTGTAACATATCCAAGTTGGATGGGTACTTCCTGCTAGTTCACTGCCATTATGAAATATGAGCAGAGGGATTTTACTCCTCAAATAAGACCTGCAGCTAGGTTTATTAAGACTGGATGAGAGATCCTCATGAAACTCTCACTGATACTACATATTTCTTTTATTTCTGGACACATATGACATGACATAAAATTCATGCAGTTACTTGGGTGTCACATGACAAATAATTGGCTGTGCCTCAACAATGCAGATCTAATCTCGACCCAGTGCTAAAACAGACCCATTAGGGATTGTGTACAGATTAATAGTAGTGTTGAGAATAGACTCAGAACACTGAGGAAGGAAAATATTTCCTCATTAAAACACTTTATCAACACCAAATACTGTAGATTACTATTGAACTCTCAATTCAACAAAATAGTAGTAGAATAATCCTTGATATCAGGTTACAGTTAAGTTAAAATGTATTGCAATGTCAATTTTATGTACATACAGTACATGCTGTTATACTGTACTTATAAAGTAACCGCATGTAATTACTGTAATTATAGGTTACTCTTGTACGTGGAAACATTCATCTTAATTTGTATTGCAGTGTAAACCTTAATATATTCTAGTACTAGATGTTGAAAGGAGAAAGGAATAATGGGGAGAAAATGCAATTTTCATGATAGTTTCAACACGAACAAAATGTACACAAAATGTATTTTAATGTAAATATACAGCATTAGAAAAGACACCTATATAAAGTGTGACCAAACACCCAAGATGAAATAAACAGCCAATGCTTTGCAGAAATAAGAGAGAATGCTTGCTGAATGCTTTAATGTGCACTATCTCATTCACTATAACAGCAATAAAGGGTCTAAACATATTATCTGTGACCATTTGTGCTGCAATCATAGAGAGAATTACAGAAATTCAGGCTTTCCGCTTTTTAAATCACATTTTGTAATGTATCCCACATATATCAAGATTTTAACCCAGCTTAAGTTTTATTGCATTTTCTTTTCTCATTCTCGCTGATGTTACAATTAAAAGGATATTATCGCATAACATAAGTAGCCATCATTAAATACATTGCCAGCTTTGTTTATCACTTTGCATATATCTCGTTCCTATGACTCACTGGTGTAGTAGGAGCGGGACTCAGACATGTCAAGTTTCTGTCTATGTAAAGTCAGGAAGGTGCGCAGCACTCACCGCGGAAGGGCAGTAGCCGAATAGAGCGAGAAAACACAGCGGTTTCAGCACCACGAACAACGCCCGCATTCTGCCTCCAGTCTCCCTCCCACGTCTCTCTTACAACCTGATTCACTCTCCAATGTTTCAGATCGAGCTTCTTATCAGTATCGTGGGATCGGAGACCCTCGATAGAGCTGCTGAAAGTGCGTGCGCTCTCATCGTCGCTCCGGGCGCAGAAAAGTTTGAGAGACGTGGACACTCTCAGCGGATATTACATCATTAGAGCATTTCAGTGCGGGGTTACTCATTCATTAGCCAAACTAAAATATATCCAAGAGTAACTTAAAGATATAAAGTCACGACTTTTATATCTTTACAATGTAAGGAGTAAATTTAAACATAACCAACATGTCCATTAGATATTGTTCACTAGGGATAAAAATAGTAAGGAATCGAACGAGGCTCCATAACAATTCCAATATAGATCATTTGAGCAATTTAGAAGACAATATATTTGGAAGTAAGAACTGCGATTTAATTTCACTTTTAAATGTCGCTTAAATGTAATAAAATTGGTCATAACTAAGCTATGTTAAATTGAAAAAAAAAAAAAAGGTTGGTTACATCATTCATTCATTCATTCATTTCATTTTTTTTTTAAACTGATTACTGATTTCAGCAAAACACGAGTATCTTTCTTTCCACATTGTTATGTGAACAACCATTCAGTAACTACAAGGAGTTTTAAGTCTCACAAGTATAACAATTTCGGCGTCCTTTCAAATAACAAATTACTAATATCTTGTGGTCCATTAAGTGAGACAGACTCGGAATTCAGCCCGCCTTCGCGATAATTATTACGAAACGGAATGAGAAACGGAAGTCCGCCCCATATAACGATTCAGATGAACTATCATTGGAACAACATTTAGATTTTTTTTTTCCCCAGCTGATGAACAATAAAAACTCTGACAGCCAATAAGAATCCTTTCTGATTTGAGCAGCTTGAGCATTTAAAGCTGCAGATGATGTAACTGCAGCGCGCTCTTAAATAGGACGTTATCATCCCTTGGCAGTGGAAAGAGTACTGAAAAATATACTCGAGTAAATGTAGCCTACCATTACATTCCAAAAAATGTAGTGGGGAGTACAGTAAGTAGTACTTGTCCAATAATCTACTTGAGTAAGAGTAAAAGAGCAGCTTATTTTAAAGTACTCATGGGTGAGTAGTGAGTACTGATCTGTGGATTCTATGTGCACTGCAATAAAAAAAAATACATACTGTAATTCACATTATCTTTTGTTATTTGTCAGAAAGAATGAAGAATATATCATCCAGCATTTTTATTTTTGACTGCCAACTCTTTAAAATACATCAAAACAACACGAATTATTAAAGAGGTGAAAATATGAAAGCGTTATTCTCAGTACACTCATCACCACCATTTTAAATCATAATTTTTGAAAAAAATAAATAAAAAAGATTTAAAATCAGGTATAAGGCCACTGAGCCAGTGCCTGCTATTGTTGCACATACAATATTAATGTTTAGAACAGTGCAAAGAATACACAAACATTTAGAAACTCATATGAAAGTTCAGCATCATACACCATGAGATGGGTTAAAAAGAGAGATTAAAAAGATTTCAAAAAGTTTAAAATCCAATTTCTCACCAAAATGGTGATAGTTTTAGCTTTTTGTGATAAAGAAATGAGAATCACTAAACATGATAATTTATGTTACAATTTAAACAAACATTGAACACGTTGCATTGTTCTAGAAGGGGGCATCAGCCCCTGCCTTTTATGCAGCTTCATTTACTCAAATTGTTATGCTGATAATACAATTTGTAAGGAAAAATATACATTAAATAGGGAAGTATTTCTGGGGAAACTTTTTCAAGTGAAAACACACACACACACGCACACACACACACACACACACTCACACACACACACAGATATAGGTCTTAAAAGTTAGTCATCTAATTTTTTCTTTAAGACTGGTCATACATTTTTAAAATTCATTTTAATTCATTGTAATTTTTCAAAATACAGATGTAACTGTGTTAAAGAAGATGTGCTGTTCAGATCTAGAAGTGCTCTTCATTAATTGCAAGCCGTTCTATTCGCCGCGGGAGTTTTGCTCGTTCATTCTCGTAAGTGTGTACATTCCTCCGCAAGCACACGTGAGCACCGCTTTACAGAAACTCGCTGATCTCATCACAGACACAGAACAACACCCGGACTCTGTTTTAATCATTCTCGGGGACTTTAATAAAGCCAATCTCTCCAGTGAACGAAAACAAATTCCTCGTATGTGTAAACATACCTGGCAATAAATGTCATTCTGATTCTGATTCTGATTCTGATTACACAAAAACTCATCAAATAAATATATATAAAAACATAAAATATTGCTCTTGAAATTATTATATAATCGTACATGTATATTAGGCCTATCTTAAAGCTTTCACTAATAAACTACAACGTACAAAACCATTAACAAGATGAACACTACAACAAAATTGTTAAAGGAATAGTTCACCCAAAAATTTAAATTTGCTGAAAATTTGTACTCACTATCTGTACCTCCTGGATCCTCTGCAGTGAATGGGTGCCGTAAAAATGAGAGTCCAAACATCTGATAAAAACATCACAATAATCCACACAACTCCAGTCCTTCAATTAACATCTAGTGAAGTGTAAAGCTGCGTGTTTGTTAGAAACAAATAAATCAAGGCATTTTAATTTTATCTCTTCTTGCCAAAATACGATTCCATAATCTATAACGCTTCCTCTAGTGAAAACGTCCATCGCCTGTTGTCCTCTAACATCAAAATCTACTGACATAACTGTTTTCACTTGTAAACAATGTTTGATCTGTACATATTTCTTTCCTGATTCAGACGTGACAACTTTTTTACTGTAGAAAGCAATATTATGGATAGAGGACTCACATTTTAGCCAGAAGCAAATGTTTAAATGTAAGACATCTTAATGATTGATTTATTTCTTACAAACATGCAGCTTTTCACTTCACAAGACATTTACTGATGGACTGGAGTCATGTGGATTGCTTGTGGATTATTGTGGTTTTTTTTTTTTGTTGTCAGCTGTTGTTTAGCAGTGGTTTCATTAATGAATCAAGTGATGTAAAGCGACTTTTCTCCAAATCTGTTCCGATTAAACTAATTGACATCTTGGATGGCCTGAGGGTGACTAAATTTTCAGCAAATGTTATTTTTTTGGGTGAACTATTTCTTTAAAACTAAGCCCTGAGAGGCATTGGGACACTAGCTAGCATCAGTTGAGTTTGTATGAAACAAGAGGAAGCGAGAAGTTTGCGGTGTGAGATGAGAGACACGTAAGTAGCACCGGTTTCAGTTACCCAGATCAGCGTTCACATGGGCAACTGTGATATCAGGAAATGGATAGCATGATTGACAATTAATAATGAAGTATTCTGGTGAAGTATCACATGTACTACATAATAGCTATAATCAATATAAATAGTGAATTTACAAAAGAAGGAAGAATAAAAGCTGTTAACCCATAAGGTCAATTGTCCAAGAAAGCACTTGTCACAGAAGCTCACACAGAAGTCTTTTTGGTCAAGCTGGATAATCCACAAAAACACAGGAACTTGACAGACGCACAATAAAAAGTTTAATTCTTTCCCAGTGTGATATGTCTTTATTTAAACTACATTTGTGGAATCTCTCGGGAACCCTCTCACACAAGCGCATGTCAAAGCAGGTGACTATTGTTGTTGCTTTTAGTAGTTTGTTGTCATGCCGTCTCCTCTGGGCCAGTGTTATAGCACTTTGTGGACAAAGTAATTAGTGCACACACACACACACACACACACACAAAGCCACATGTGTGTGGAAGCTTGTTTTTACAAAAATAAATAAATAAATAAATAAATTATATCTGATAATTATGAGAAAAAAGTCAGAATTGTGATATATTAACTCAGAATTGCAAGCTATTAATTGAGATTGCTTTTCCCCCTCATAATTCAGAGAAAAAAAAAGTCAGAATTGTGAGATGTAAACTTGGAATTGCAAGAAAAAAAAGTTAATATTTAGCAATTCTGACTTTTTGTTTCTTAGAATTTTGAGTTTATATCTCAGAATTGCAAGAACAATTTCAGAATTGTGAAATAAACAGTCACAATTGTTTTATTTGATCTTATTCTATCTGATTTGATCTTATTTTATCCAAATTTGTTTTTTGTTTTAATGCCGTGGTGGCTTCCATACTTGAGCAAGCTGAACATACAGTGAAAAATCTGCATTTTTGCCTACAGTACACACATTGTATGCTAATGATGAAATTTACAGTATGTCAGGTGCACTGTATGCATCCTCTAGCATATGTGTAAAAACCGATGTATACTTTGACCTTAAGTATATATTTTACTAAGTATTTATTTGACGCCAAGTGAATTTTCAGTCAAAGGTCTTTCTTTAAGTTGTTTTATTGAGTGTCTTCAGGCCATGTTTTTCTTTTTAAGAAGAAAGGGACTTTCATCCCAGTATTGTGGAAGATAAAAGTCTGATGGTGTTTCATAGTATGCTGTATAAATGGTCTCCTCTCTGACTGAGTACTATCTGTTTGATTCCAAGAGCAGTGCTGAGGTTGCTCAGGTGCGAGCGCAGCGCATTTGCTTCCCTCAACAGGTCTTCACTAATGGCCTGGTTGCCTTTGATTATGGTGCATGTTGTAGTGGCTTCAGGAAAGCACAAATAGATTTTGAATTAAAAGAGACTTGGAATAAAAGAGTGAGAAAAACAGGGAGAAAGAGGCTGCCGCACGCTGAGACACTGACCCAGCAGGCTGCAACGTACATTGCCTGAATCATGCTAACACATTAACTCTGGGCACGTTTGTGTCTGGCATCTGGCCACAGCTGCTGCCTGCTAGAGCTCTGAATGAAAGGTGTTCCCAACAGGAATGGGATGCCAGACACACACAGGCATACAACACACCCACATGCACACATACAAAAACAGAACATTTACGAAGAGACGTTATTCATGAGCTGGAGCGGCTCACCAGTCATTACTCAGACAGGAGCTGTCTCAATAAAGGCAAATAACCTTTGCTGATTTATTTTGGACACTTAGGCACATCAAACATGGAGGCGGCAGGGAAGCCAAAGATAATGGACTTTCTGCTCATGGAACATTTGGCTATAAATACATTTTCATTTTCATATTACTATCACTGCTGTTCTCCCAGTAAA